GTTTAAATGCTCGTCAATTTCAACTTCGAGCACTTTGGTATGTTTGACTCTTTCGACTGATTGTTTATCAATATTGATTGATGGTTCATGAACATTCAAACTATTTATTCTATATCGTGATCCAAACAGAAGGTACTCAGTTTTGACGATATTTAAATTAAGTTTAGTTGCAGATAGCCAATTTCGGACATTCTTCAGGTCTTCGTTTGCCCTCTTCTCTACTTCATTCAATGTTTTCCCCGCAGCTGTTAGGCTGGTATATCATCTGCAAACACTCTGGGTGTTGTATGTTTAAGGCAATTTGGCAAATCGTTTATATATAGTAAAGAGAAGAGGGCCAAGTATACTTCCCTGAGAATGCCGCAAGTTATTTTTCTTTGTTTTGAAAGCATTCCTTGGAGATTGCGTTTTTGAGTTCCGTTTGTCAAATAATTATACGCAGTAGCGCAAGCGCCGATTCTCCAGGACCGTACATTTCAAGCTTCTTTAAAAGGATATCATGATTTACGGTATCAAACGCTTTCTTTATATCAAGAACAACAACTAAATTATAGTGTCCGCGGTCCATATTGACATACCATTCATTCGTACAATCTATTAATAAAAGTAGTAGTTGTTGAATGGCAAGACCTAAAAACCAAACTGATATTCGGATAGAATATACTTTCTTTCTCTAAATACTCAGATATTTGATTATATAAAATCCGCTCTATCAGTTTGCTAACAACAGGTAATATTGAAATTGGCCTGTAATTGTCAAGCATGGTTTGCTGACCTTTTTTGAATATTGGGATTACTCGTGCTGCTTTCCATGCTGATGGAAACTGGCCCAAAACAATCGATTTGTTCAAAAATTTTGTCAATAGTTGTGCAACAGCAGGAGCCGCAACTTGAAGAACTTTTGTAGAAATTTTGTCAACACCAGCTGTAGCTTTCGAAGTAAGTAATTTTGTAATAATCCTGTAAACGGTTAATTCATTTACAGCCTCAAAAGAAAATTTTCTAGCTGGTTCTTCTTTGGTAAAAAAGTCTCCAAAGTAACTATCGCTGTCATGTTCGATCGTTTAATGAAATTGTCTGTTGTATCCATCCCACTTGTATTATATTATATATATATATATATATATATATATATATATATATATATATATATATATATATATATATATATATATATATATATATATATATATATATAATTTCGCTTACCTCAAAATTCCGCAACAGTCTGTTTCATCAGTAAAGAATCATCAGGCAGTATGACAAGTGTCGAAAATAGGACTGCTTATATGTGTTTTGGCCGGAATGTGGGTGTGTGTGGGTGAAACAAAGCATGCATTCATCTATTGTTTGCGTTGTTTACGCGGAAATGCCTAATCGAATTGTGGGAGTGTATTGTTTGCGTTGTTTACGCGAAATTTCTTCCTATGTCTGCACGTAGATATAATTTCTATTCTTCTATTGAGTAAACAGTTTTGGTTTTCTTTCAAAATACAAAATTTTTCCTCTAAACATAAATTACATCGTTTTGATCCTCCCGTATACGAAATAGCGCGTTTCAAAATTTGCCAATTGATATTAAAATCTTTCTTGCTATCTTTCAATGTCCAAATATATTTCGAAAGTTCAGTTTTGTTCGAGTGCTCTTTATGCTCGAAAGTATAGTTATGGTTAGCCAAACGCTCTTTAAATGCAGTTGATGTCATGCCAATATAATTCATGATCGTGTTAGGGGTGCTTGTTGTGACTGTTGCTTTGTATACTATGTCCTTAGTCATGCATTGTTTCTGAAGTGGGCATATTGCGTTTTTCGAATAACTGCAATTGACATGAAGTGCCCTTAACATTGCTCATGCAGCTATAACTTACTTTTACTGTATTTCTGTTAAAGATATTATGCAGCTTGTGGTGCGATGGAAAATGCTTGTCAATAAGGTTAAGAAAATTACGCCCTATGTTAGTGCTGACATTCGTGCTAAATGCATGTTGGGTTGAACCAAATGATATTACGTTGCCTATTTCTGCGTGCTTGCTGTGGTGCGTGTTGAGTGTAGTTAAGATCATGACTGAAGTTGCTATGGTCAATTGCGTTTTGGTATGCAGGTGCAGATTCATAAATGTTTGATCATCTGATGAAAGCAGTGCAATGCGCTTGTTAATTGATGTAGGTAGCTGCCTTATATAATGCTAGGTGGATGGTTAGAGTACCTATTTATGTATAGCGGATCGTCATTGGGCTTCCTATAGGGCCTATATTTTCCGTTGTTAAGATCGAAAGTTGCATCTAAAAAGTTTACTATGCGTAAGTTTAATTCGGCGGTGATTTTTAGGTCAAACAGCTCGAAACATGACAACATTACAAAAACATATAAACAAGGATCCGATGACACTATCGACGAAATTGACTCTGAACTAAAAGACATTTCGAACAATTTAGGAATCGGCGACAAAAATGAAAAAATGAAAAAAAGTGAAGCATTTATATATTTAAAAGACCACAAAGAAAATTTCGAAAACAATCCAAAATGCCGGTCGAACCAGTCGAGAAATACAAAACAAGTAATTGAATGGTTTGGAAATATAAAAGACAAAGAAAGACATAGTTTTATTTCGTTTGACATCGTTGATTTTTACCCATCCATTTCGGAAAATCTCTTAGATCAAGCATTGTCTTGGGCTTCTAATTTAACTACCATTTCGAATAATGATATTTTGATCATAAAACACGCCAGAAAATCTCTGCTTTTCAACACCGGAAAACCATGGACTAAAAAAGATAGTGAAGGTTTGTTTGACGTTACCATGGGCCGCCATGATGGCGTCGAAATATGTGAATTAGTTGGCCTTTTCATCCTAAATCACCTAAGTAAGAAGTTTGGCAAAGAAAGCATCGGTCTATATAGAGACGACGGTTTGGCCCTCATAAGAAGTAAATCGGCACGCTTAGCAGACAAAACAAGGAAAGAACTTCACAAAATTTTCGAGCTGTTTGACCTAAAAATCACTGCCGAATCAAACTTACGCATAGTAAACTTTTTAGATGTAACTTTCGATCTTAACAACGGAAAATATAGGCCCTATAGGAAGCCCAGGAACGATCCGCTATACATAAATAGGTACTCTAACCATCCACCTAGCATTATAAGGCAGCTACCTACATCAATTAACAAGCGCATTGCACTGCTTTCATCAGATGAGCAAACATTTATGGAATCTGCACCTGCTTACCAAAACGTACTTGACCATAGCAACTTCAGTCATGATCTTAACTACACTCAACACGCACAACAGCAAGCACGCAGAAATAGGCAACGTAGCCTAATATCATTTGGTTCAACCAACCATTTAGCATGAATGTCAGCACTAACATAGGGCGTAATTTTCTTAACCTTATATTGACAAGCATTTTCCATCGCACCAGAAGCTGCATAAGATCTTTAACAGAAATACAGTAAATGTAAGTTATAGCTGCATGAGCAATGTTATAAGTCTATAATCACTAAGCACCATATACATATAGCTAGGAAGAACCAGGCACAGGGCAAGGGCACTGTCAATTGCAGTTGTTCAAAAAACGAAATAGGCCCACTTCAGAAACAATGCAGGACTAAGGACATAGTATACAAAGCAACAGTCACAACAAGCACCCCAAACAAGATCATGAATTATATTGGCACGGCATCACCTACATTTAAAGAGCGTTTGGCTAACCGTATAACTATACTTTCGAGCATAAAGAGCACTCAAACAAAACTGAACTTTCGAAATATATTGGGACATTGAAAGATAACAAGAAAGATTTTAATATCAATTGGCAAATTTTGAAACGCGCTGTTTCGTATACGGGAGGATCAAAACGATGTAATTTATATTTAGAGGGAATATTTTGTATTTTGAAAGAAAACCAAAACTGTTTACTCAATAAAAGAATGGAAATTATATCTACGTGCAGACATAGGAAGAAATTTCGCGTAAACAACGCAAACAATACACTCTCACAGTTCGATTAGGTATTTCGGCGTAAACAACGCAAACAATAGATGAATGCATGCTTTGTTTCACCCACACAACCCACGTTTCGGCAAAAACACATATAAGCAGCCTATTTTCGAAACTTGTCATATCGCCTGATGATTCTTTACTGATGAAACAGACTGTCGCGGAATTTTGAGGTAAGCAAAATTCTACATTTGCTCTATCTTTATGATATTGAGCACTCTTTCCGTTTCGTATATATATATATATATATATATATATATATATATATATATATATATATATATATATATATATATATATATATATATATATAGTGTATAATATATATATATATATATATATATATATATATATATATATATATATATATATATATATATATATATATATATATATATATATATATATATATATATATAAAACCACAACAGACTGTTGTGGTTTTTTTGAGGTAAAACGAAAAACTATATATATATATATATATATATATATATATATATATATATATATATATATATATATATATATATATATATATATATATATATATATATATATATATATATATATATATATATATATATAAGATTGGAAGACAAACTTGAATTACTTCATATGAACTTTATTTCACTACAGATTTGTTTCGTATGACAAGACGAGTCTTGCCACACTCATCAGGTGAATTTAAATAATTAGTTATTAGTTATTATTATAACTAATAACTAGTTATTAGCTGTTATTTAATGATCTAAATTCTCCTGATGAGTGTGGCAAGACTCGTCTTGTCATACGAATTCAATTTGTAGTGAAATAAAGTTCATATGAAGTAATTCAAGTTTGTCTTCTAATCTTATCAGCTCTGCTACGGTATTGAGCACTCTACTCATATATGATTCCAAACTCGATACATGTCTATATATAGAAATATTTCCCACGAAATATGGGTTTTTATGTCACACCTGAACTAATTAGATAAGTGAGTAACAATTTAATTATATTTAATGTTAATCCCTGGCGCGCCTGTTGAAGAGGAAGGAAATTTAGAGCACTTGAAACTACGTAACAGCTGGGCCAAGATCAAGGTCGATCTCTTGGTATTAAACCAAGATAACTTAGATATTTTGCAAGTCTCCAATATCAGTGGTCAAGTGAAGAACTCAGAATTTATCTTCAACATCATTTTGGTCCTATTTTCAGGTTAGCGATACATTTCTTTTTTACACAATCATTCTTTCACCTATTCTCTTCTATTATGGCTTTATCCAATCCAAAGGTACTGGTATTTGGTCATTCCTTTGTGAAGCGCATGCATCGGGATTTAAGATCCAAATTCGATGTTCGCGCTGCCCTAAATTTTAACATGCACAATGTAGCTATCAAACTGCATGGTGTTGGGGGGAGGACTGTTGACAAATTAGTTCAATTTGATTTCAACAGGGTTACCCAGTTTCAGCCCAACATTGTTATTTTAGAGGTTGGAACAAATGACTTAACCTTGGAAAAACCCGAAACTGTGGGATCGAGAATTGACGATCTAGTGCGCATGTTGCTCGGGGTTCCATCCGTCAGAGTGGTTGGCGTGTGTTTGGTAACCAATCGGGCCTCTTCTCCAAAATTTAATGAGAAGGTTGCGATCTTGAACCAGTACCTTACGGTTGTGTTAGAAGATAAGCACAATGTCTTCTGTTGGAGACATAAAGGCTTTACTCAGCCAACCATTTCGCCTTTTCTGCCTGATGGCGTCCATTACACCCGCAGAGCTCAATATACTTTGTATAGAAGTTATCGGGGCGCCATCCTCAAGGCCATTCAGTTTCTTTCACGCTGTGCTTAGCACACAGGTGGTCGCATTTTTATTTGATTTTCTTATTCTCATTTATATACCATTACTTGTTAAAATACAAATATCTCACCCTTTGTGGTGAGTTGAGGCTTCGCCCTCAATATTTGTTGTTATACGGATCGCACTTCGCTGTGATCCCTGTTGAGGCTTCGCCCTCAAAATTTATTTTTTATTTTTTTAAAACCTCTCGCTTCGTCGAGATTTTGTCACAGGCTTCGCCCTCATTTAATTATTTCAAAACCTCTCGCTTCGTCGAGATTTTGTCAGAGGCTTCGCCCTCATTTAATGAAAATGTTTTCATGAACTGTAAGTCGAGGCTTCGCCCTCGTTTTTTCCATCTGGCGTTTTGGGCAAGTGGTGCGGTCACCGTTTTAGTGTGGCCAAGCTTGACCCAGTCAGTTAAAATTCTCCTATTCATCGATCGCGTTCTCGTTCCTTGCACAATCTTCGTTCAGAGGGGCAACTAACTTCTAATCCATTTTGCAGTAATTTCTCTTTCAGTTCATTATGCCACCTAAAGGTTCTAAGAGTTTGAAACGCAAGTCGTCGAAATCTCCGGCCAATCCATCGCCGTCACAGCGACCTCGTGTGCAGACCCGCAGTTCGACCATTGTCTTAGAGCCAACCATTGCTTCCCCGTCCGCTGGTGCAACAACGAGCTCAACCGTACGCGAACCCGTCAGCGTCGCCAGCACATCGGCAGCGCCTGATGCTGGTACCATCTCCCCACAGCTTCTTCAGCAGATCGTGTCAACAGTTACTGCTGAAGTTACTCGGCGACTCACACCACACCATCAAGCGGAGTTTTCGGACGCTGTTGTTGAGGCCCCAGTTGTCGCGATGGGAGCAACCACCTCGACTGAACAACCCGCCATTGTTCCTGGTATTGTGGAAGAAGCCTTACAGTCCGTGCATTCCGCCGTTGCAGGTGAGCCTTCCTCTTATTCTGCGATGCCAAGTCAACCCTATGCATCGATCCATTTGCCTCTTGACTCCAGGATCACAACAAAATTAAAAAACAAAATTTGGAACGACGAATATATTGATTTTGGGTCTTTGTTGAGCAATCCCGGGGCGGTCGACACCAAATTTCAATTGAGTGTAAAGACCTCTAATGATGGTCTTCATCCCTCTCTTTCGTTTGAGCCTGTCCACAAACCACAAAAGGTCGCCCATATCGCGACCTGGATGAGCGCTTTCCGAATTTTTGTCGGGGTGTACACACAAAAATATCCTCATGAGTCCCCCGCACTCATGAAGTACGGCGATATTGTGCAGGACCTAGCAGATCGAGGCCATAATTGGCGTTTTTACGATGAAAATTTTCGTTTTCTGAGACAGAAAGAACGCAGCGCGGTGTCTTGGGCCAATGTGCATTGGGAATTGTGGCTAAGATCGCAGTATCCTACCAATAGAGTCGGCCCTGGGCAACGCGCTGTCACTAATACTACCAAATTGCCTTTTCTTAGTATACCTCGCGGCCATTGTTTTAGATTTCACAAAGGCGAGGAATGTTCGGGTTGTGAGTTTAAGCACACTTGTTTTAAATGCGCTGGCTCTCACCCAGCCATAAGATGTAATTTTCGTGGCCTACCAAAACGAGATCAGAACCGAAACGCTAGGTCCGATAAGCGCAATGCCGCTCCCAACCCCCATACAAATAAATCATCTTAATTCATTTTTACAGGGTTATAACCCTGACGATAGCAAAACACTTGTTTCAGGTTTTACGCATGGTTTTTCTTTACATTTTCACGGCTTCATTAACCAAACTGAGGGTAAAAATTTGAATTCAGCTTTAGCGCACCAAAACGTTGTTACTCAAAAACTCTCTAAAGAATTAGTCGCTGACTATGTCGAGAATTTTGATGTCAGAGAATATGTTATTTCATTAAATATTTTCAATAAAGCGGCTATGAACTATATTCATAGCCAAAATTTTTCCCATAAAAGTGTCGTCTAAAATTTTGTGCCTGCATGCCAGTAAACCAAGCTCGGTTAATGCAACGCTGTTTGATCCTCATAAACTCAAAGGGAAGGTGGAGACATAAATATATATATATATATATATATATATATATATATATATATATATATATATATATATATATATATATATATATATATATATACCGCCTGATGATTCTTTACTGATGAAACAGCCGACTGTTGCGGAATTTTGAGGTAAGAGAAATTCTACATTTGCTCTATCTTTATGATATTGAGCACTCTTTGCGTTTCGTATACACAAACCTATTCGTATATATATATATATATATATATATATATATATATATATATATATATATATATAGCTTAAGATTTTGGTTTACGAAACACAAACAGTGCTCAATACCATATAGATAGAGCGTAATATAGTTTTTCGTTTTACCTCAAAAAACCACAACAGTCTGTTTCATCCGTATAGGAATCATCTGTTTCATCCGTATAGGAATCAACCACCTGATGATCCCTATACGGATGAAACAGACTGTTGTGGTTTTTTGAGGTAAAACGAAAAACTATATATATATATATATATATATATATATATATATATATATATATATATATATATATATATATATATATATATAATAAATTATATATATATATATATATATAAATCTATCACTGAGGCAACTTTCTCTGGAGCCCAACATTTATATAAATCATTCAATGATACATCAGAGCTCATATAACAACTTTTTCATGATTACGTTTCGGGGCAAGCCCCTTCTTCAGATTACATGTGTACACGTAATTTCAACTATTTAAACTGTCCATATCCTAATTATAATAATTCGCTTGATTAACTCTATTGTTCAAACAAAGTCTTTTAAATTCAACCCATGCGGTTCAAACGAATTCAGTTTATAAGCCCAAAAACCTTCTCTTTGT